CATTGGAAAGGCAGATATACAGAGAGGAGAGACAGAGAGGAAGAACTTCCGTCCAATGATTCACTCCCCAAGTGAGCACGACGGCCGATGCGATGCCGATCTGAAGCAAGGAGCCTCTTCCGGGTCTCCCACATTGGTGCAGGATCCCAAAGTTTTCGGCTGTCCTCGACTGCTTTCCCGGGCCACAGGCAGGGAGCTGGATGGGAAGCGGGGATGCCGGGATTAGAACCGGTGCCCATATGGGATCCTGGGTGTGCAAGGCGAGGACTTTAACCACTGCACCACTGCACCACCGTTCCGGGCCCTGATGGTCATACTTTCAACCTTGAATTCCAGGTCAACAATTTTGTTTTTGACTTGTTGTATTTCTGTGACTATGTGGTTCTGGAAGTCTTCCCACTTCTTCTCATTGTCTCTGACTAATTTTATCATTAATTTTTTTTAATTCCTTGTCTGGTAAAGCTTCCATGTCTTCATCTCACATCTCCAAAATAGATATTGGCTTTTGGCCCTTTTTTGCTGGGGTGCTGGCCCTTTCATCTGGATCATTACTTTTTCTGATATTTCTTCCCATTGTGCTGATGTATCTTTTGGAGAGGCCAAGGCACCCATGTGCTGAATGGTTTCCAAGCGCTATCCTGCAGAGATCAGAGCCTGCAGGTGTAGAGTAGCAGGGCGTGGGACTATTCAAAGCACTTTTGGTGTTTCCTCAGTGCACAGGACTGCAGGGCACCACCTCTGAGGCCCCGTGGATTCCAGGCACACTCTCGGCGCCTCCTCTACAGCTACACAGCCCTAGAGTGTGGGATGATGAAGGCACTCTCTAAGTGCATACCCTGCGTGGGGGTCCACAGGACGTGGAAGATTCTAGGTGCTTTTTTGGTGCATCCTCAGTGCCGGGGACTGCAGGGCCTGGAGGGTTCTTGCTCTCTGGGAACTTCTCCTGCATAGGTCTGCACAGCAGCACGTGGCGCCTGATTTTTCAGAGCCTACCTGGTGTGTCGCCCAGGCATGGGATTGTGTGTGAGGGGTGACCCAGGCACTTTCTTGGAGTGGCTCATGCAGTGTAGGTCCACACAGCATGGTGTGGGGGTGTTCAGAGCCCGCCTGGTGTGACCCCCTCGCAGTGGACTGCGGGGCAAGGAGTGAACCATTCAGGCACCCTGTGAGAGTGACTCCTGCCCGGCAGGTCTGCACAGCACAGCTCAGGAGTTTTCAGAACCCTCCTGGTGTGTCACCCACACACAGAACTGTGGGGTGGGGGGCAAAGAGTGAAACTTGCACCCTGTGTGGGCAACTCCTGTGTGGCGGCTCCACACAGCATGGTGCAGGGGTGTTCAGAGCCCTCCTGGTGAGTTCCCCCCGCCCACGCACAGGACTGTGTGGCAAGGAGTGAACCAGGAACCCTGTGGAAGCGGCTCCTGCGTGGCGGGTCTACACAGCCTGGTGTTCAGGTGTTCAAAGCCCACCTGGTGTGTCTCTCACCCACAGGATAGCAGGGTGTGTGTGGGGTGTTTCAGACACTCTCTGTGAGCTTCTGCGCACTAAGATGCATGGGTCCACACAGCGCGGGAGAATTCGGGGCACTTTCTTTGTGCCTCCTCAGCACACAGGACCTCTGTGCGCCACCTCCAAGACACAGATTTGGCAGTTTCAAGGCACTTGCCCTGTGTCCTCAGAAGCTGGAAACTCCGTGGGAAGGGGTGGGGAGAGGAGCACCAAAGAGGCTCGGGCTTTGTGTTTGTCCCTGGAGGGCAAGCTCCAGGAGCTGCTGACCCACTGCTGTCCCTCCCCAGCTCACCCAAACCTCAGGCTCTTGCAGTCTGCCTCTGCTGCTGTTGAAGAACTTTGCCAGTGATGATCCCTCCAGGTTTCCTTGTCTCTTGGTCGGCTGCGTCTTCTGTCAGCTGCCCTTAAAGCTGACTCAGCAGGTCTGGAGCAGGAGACCGTCTTCTCTGCCTTTTGTTTTGTTTGTTCTCGTTGTTCTTCCGAGTTGTGTGGATCTTTTTGGCTCCACACTGCCCAGGGAACTTCACGCATTACTCCCTTCGGCTCTTTGCTATTCCTCTTTGCTGCTTCTGCACCGTTTTATCCTTCTCTCACTGCGCTAACCTCACAGCCTTCCTCCTATGTCGGCCTTCTTGGCTCAACCCGATCCACTGTATTCTTAACTTCTAAAATGTCAGCTTTCATTTGATTCTTTTCCTGTGTGACAAATTCTTTAAATTGTTTGAACTCCAGTATTATGTGGTTTTCATTGTTTATAATATGTTTCTGAATTTTTTTTCCCCTATTTTTCAGTGTCTTTATCATTTAACTGTGTGGGTGGTAGGGGCTTTTGTTCCTTTCCTGGTGTGTCTCCAGTAACATTCATTGTGCCTCTGTCTTTTAAGTTTTGACATTGCAATCATATTTGGTGGGTTTTTCTCCTTAGTGCAGATATCTAAGCTGTATTACCTGCAGGTCTACAAGTCAATTTTTATGTTCAATCAGTGTCCTGAGTTAGGAAGATGCCAACTATCCCAGAGAGCTGGTTTATTGGTAAAGCTGATTGTGTCCAAACACACATGAAAAATGGCATCCTGCAGGGCACTGCCAGAGAGCTGGTCTGTTGGCATTCCTATCTGTGGGCCACAAAGATGCTGCAGGACCTGAAACTGGTGCTGTCTCTCCCTGGGATCAGTCTGGTGTGACTAGGTGGAAATGTACTCACTCTGACTTTTTATCCCTGTGCTGTTAGCTCTGAACCTCTGCCAATCTGAGCTATGGAGTCCACAGCTTCCTTTCCGTTCATTGCTGCACCAAAGTATTCAGCAGAATTGGCCAATCCCAGCCTGCCTTCACCTCCTGAGCTCCCCATGCTTGGGAGCTCCCACTGGCTGCTGCCAGAGCTGCTCTGTGGCAGTCACTGGATCCCTGGTTGTTGCAGAATTCTGGATCCCAGCTCACTGCTGGCTGGCAAGGTTCCTCTTGTCTGTTACACAACTCTACAGTCATTGCCTCTTCCCTGTGTCCGGGGGTTCTTGAGGTATTTCCCTGTTGACTACCTGACCCCTATCTTTTTCTGTAATCTGCTCTCTGTTCTTTACCCTGTTTAATAATTCTTCATAATCTCAAACATGTCTGTACCCTTTGCCTCCAACTTGACTCTCTTCATGGCATTTTTAATTTCTTCTTTTCCTCCTGTTGATGATTTTGCTTTGCGGCTTTTCATTTAAGGGGATGTATAGTAACTGTATAATGGAGTCTATCATATCGAGATGTGAGGGTACAATGCAGTCTGCATCTCTATTTCCAGATCAAGGATGAACTCCAAATGACACTGATATGCATATCTTGACCATAGGATGCGGGACCCTGCATTGTCAATGTCCATAAAGATAGTTTATGAGACACTTAACTGTAGTAATGACATAGGGGAACTCAGTGAGGGTGGAGAGAATTGGGGAGGTGTAATGGAAATCCCAGGAGCTATGGAAATGCATTATTAAATGATAATAATAATAATAGCAAAGAAGAAAAAATAATTCCTTCCTCTTTCCTCCTTGTATCTCCTTCCTCCTCCTTCCTTCATTTTTTCCCTTCCTCTGTTCCCTTCTCCCCTCTTTTCCCTTTTCTCATCTCCTCTCTTCTCCCCCTCCTCTCTCTTCTTCTTTGTCCTCTCTTTTCCTCTCTTTTTCCCCTCTCCATTCCCTCCTCTCCACTCTTCACCTCTTCTATCCTCTATACTCCTCACTCTTTCCTTTCCTCCCTGCCTTTCCTCCCTTTTTCTTCTCTTCTGAACTCCTGTCCTCTATTCTGAACCTCTCCCTTCTGCTCCCTTCTTTCTTCTCATCCTCTCTTCTCTCTTTTCCTCTCCTCCCTTCTTTTCACTTCCCCTCTCCCCTTCATTCTCTCTCTCCTTTCTCTTTTCTCCTCTACTCTGCCCTTCCCTCCCAATCTTCCCTCTCCTCTCTTCTGTCATAAATGATTTAGAAGTATGTGTTTGAGAGCAGGCATGGAGGTCCTGGGTTCATTTCTCAGCTCTGCCTCCTGACTCCAGTTTCCTACTAATTCAGGAAGCCTTAATGATGATGATTCCAGTGATTGGGTTCCTGTCACCAAACTGGAAAACTAGATTGTTTTGATACTACCCAGTATAAGCTGTTTCAGGCACTTGGAAAGTGAGCCAGGGGACAGACCTTTATGACATCCGACATTCTGATTCCCTTCCCTTTTCTGGCACTCTCATTTTCAGCACGGGAAGGGAAGAGCTGGCTCTCCAGGCATATGCTTCACCACACAGGTTCCTATTTGGGAAGTGAGTAAGTAGGAAGGAGACCAGGCAGCAGGGGTGAGAAGAGAAAGGGGCGGGGGGGGGGGGTTAATGAAGAAAGTGGACAGGGAGCATCAAGAAAGGCCCCTGAGAGATGCAAAGCGAGGTAGGGGACACTGATGGAGAGGAATCCCAGCTATAGGGGTTGCAATCCTCTCAACACATGACTGAAGCAATTCATTTTAAAGTGTCAGGTGTGTCATAACAGTGATACTCACACTTGAAGTAATGCAGGAAAGCCTAAGTGTGTAATGCAAATAGAAAGCAACAAGGTCTTTCATCTGCAGACAGCCATGGATGAAGCAAGCAGTTTTCCTTCTGCATGGATGTTTTGCATTCTTAAGCCAATGGGAGTCAGAAAAGGGGTACAGCTTCCTGTCTTCCTTTCAAAGGGAAACTACAATTATGAATGTCCCCATAGCAGCTCCCAAATTCTACAGGGACAAGGCAGGTTGAAGACTAGTGGATTGTGACAAGGAAGGAAGCTTGGCAGCAGGTTGTCTTAGCTGGAATCAGGGCTTAGAGGTAGGTAGACCAGATGAGAGCAACAAACCCAGAGTGGGAGTGGTTTGACTGTGTCAGCTTGAGAGCAGAAGACACTTTGGGGGAGGGCAGAGGAAGTGGGTGGAGGCATTGCAATCCTGCAGGCAGGTCTTTGGGGACTAGTGGGTTTGGGGTTTGCAGATAAAAGTCAGAGGCCACTACAAGCCCAGAGCTCCCCAGCAGCATGGGCCACCTGCTGTTCCTGCTGCTCTGGGGGCTGCACAAGGTTTGGGGAAGATCTGATGGTAAGTAAGAGGAGGGCACTTGGGTACACACTGATAGATGGGAGGAAGTAGGGTGAAACAGAGCACGTTTTGAGTGAGGATGGGACCAAGGGGCAAAAGGGACTCACAGTCTGAGTGCCATAGGGGAGTGCATTGCGTGGTGAGGGTAGAGAGCTCCTGGCTCGTTGTGAGGCTCCATGCTGCCTATAGTTTCTGAACCCTAACCTTGCATCCCAAACTTCTGCAATGTTTGCTTTCTGTTCCTTATACTGCAGGAGGTGCTCAGCTTTTGGCGTGCTCCCCTAATGTCCTTTTTCCCTTATCCTCTTTTTCCCAGACTTAACGTATTAGAGATGTAATTATTCTGTCTTTCTCTTTTTCTCTGTGTGTCTATTTTTCATTGTCTCATTGATTCTCTGTCTCTCTCTCTCACACATTCAGACGAAGAGAGGAAGAGAGAGAGAGAATTGTTCCTTAAGTGAGGCACACACCCAATTGTGGTAAGGCCAGGTCTGGACTTTGCCCAAACCAGAAGTCAAGAACTCGGTCCCTGTTTTCCTCTGGCGACCTCCATGCTGTCCCTTTCCCAGGCACATCAGGGAGCTGGATCCTGAGCAGAGCAGCCTGGACTCCAACTGGAACTCATAGGGGAACCTGGGTAGCAGGTCATGGCTCACACCCCTGCACCACAATACCAGCACTATCCAATCATTTTTGTTTTCTGTTTTGTTTTGTGTTTTTCTTTGCAGTGCTACAAAGAGCTTTTCCCTTTCACATACTCCAGATCTCGTCCTTCCCTAACAGCAGCCATGCACGCACAGACTTCTTGGCATGGCTGGGGGAGCTAGAGACACACCGTTGGAGGAATGAGTCGGACACTGTGCAGTTCCTGAAGCCCTGGTCAACGGGCAGATTCAGCCAGCAGCAGGTGAAGCAGCTGCAACAGGAGTTTTTGCTTTATCGACTCAGTGTCTTCAATGATGTCCAGAAATTTTCCAAAGTGCTCAAGTTAACCTGTGAGTTGAGGCATGGGATTCTGGGTATCCACCAAGGGGAAGGGTGGATGGGTTAGTCCAGTAAAGAGACTGGCTCTGCCAGCTGATGTCCTTTTTGGTCCTGCTTGCTCCACACTGTCATTACCTTGAACTCTGAGAGGTAATAAAAAATCCAAGTAAATATCTTCTCCTTTAGCACTTTGAGATTTATTTAAAAATTAATTTTAAAAAATTAATGAATTTTTAAATTTTATGATCAGTTTCAAGGGTCCGGAATCCCTCATACTGCTTTCCCACAAATTATTACAATGATATAGTCATTCAAAAGCAGTTTTCCAGTCTTTTAAACCTTTCTTTGATCTGTGACCTTTTCTCTCTGCAGACCCTATTGATATCCAGGTGTTTGTTGGCTGTGAGTTGCATCCTGACAATGTCTCTGAAAGCTACTTCCACGTGGCTTTTCAAGGATCACTTACCCTGAGTTTCCAAGGAAGTTCTTATAAGGCAGCTCCAGATGTTTCTCCAAAGGTAGATGTGGTTGTCCAAGAGCTCAACAAGGACCCAGGCACGAGCGCAGTGATGCAAGTGCTCATGAATTATACCTTTCCCCAGCTTGTCCGTGGCCTTATTGAGGCAGGGAAATCAGACCTGGAGAAGCAAGGTCAGCCTGTCTTCCTCAACCTCACATTCATTGGGAGTTTCCTCAGGACTTTTCCTTCCCGGACTTCTCTTCTGTTTGGGCATGGAGACAGAGAAGGGTCCATGCGGGCATGTTAAAACATGAGGGTGTTTCTTCATGCCACAGATGCTAACTGCACGCCTCGTGGAGGCCATCAATTGCACTAAATTAACAGTGAGGGTCAGAATTGGGATGTGGCAGGCAGTGTCCCTGCTGTAGGGGCAGAAGACATATGAACAAAGAAGGGTTTTTGGGGGAGCATTTATCGGACATGGGAAACAGGGTAGAATACGCCGGTGGGTTGTCATGAAAACTGTGATAAAGGGTTGGAGGTTTGAGAGGCCTTGTATCCAAAAGCGAGAATGGGATAGCAGGTGTCTCAGAGGCAGAGTCCTCATTGTCACACACCCTGTCTCTTATTCTTTTTGTGGATACAGTGAAGCCTGAGGCCTGGCTGTCCAGTGGCCCCAGCCCTGGGCCTAGCCGTCTGCTGCTCGTGTGCCGTGTGTCTGGCTTCTACCCGAAGCCCGTGTGGGTGAAGTGGATGCGAGGTGAGCAGGAGCAGCCTGCACAGCAGGGTGACATCCTTCCCAATGCTGATGAGACGTGGCATCTCCGAGTGACCATGGATGTGGAGAGCAGAGAGGCAGCCGGCCTGTCTTGTCGGGTGAAGCACAGCAGTCTAGGAGGCCAGGACATCATCCTGTACTGGGGTGAGGAAGCCCTGGAGCTCTGTCTGGAAATGGGAGGAGGAGGTCCTCATGCATAGAGGGAGGCAGTGGGGAAGGGCTGGGCTTGATACTGCTGGGATTGAAGAGTTTCAGAGAGGAGCACGTGGGACGACGGGGATGCGAGGAGGACATTCCAGATAGAGACAGAAAAATAAAGACTTGGAATTCAGAAAGTGATGAGATAAGTGTTGCACATTCAAGAGGAAACAAAGCCCCAAACTGAGAGTTCCTGAAGTAGGTGGCAGATGAAGAATCCCAAGAAGATTCCTTTGTTTTTTTTTTTTTTAGTTTTGCTGGTTTATTACTTTTTTATATTCTGAACAATGAGATCTTTTTTATTTATGTATATTTTTTATTGCATTCCATTTTATAACAACGTTTCATAGGCTCTGATATTCCCCCATCTCTTCTCTGTGCACTCACCCCATGGTGTATTGCTCCACCTTATTGCAGTATTACAGTTCAAATCTAGTCTTGTTTGTTTCAATGCAAGCATGTGCCATGCATAGAGCCCAGTATGTTATTGCCCAGCTGAATTCTACAGTTTCTTCTGGAGAACAACTCTGTTCTGGAGACATTGCTGGCAGATTATCATTCCAACCATTAAATGCCATAACATAATATCAACAACAGTTTCCAACATTATGGGGTTAATTAACATTGTATTGAGTGACTGATATGTTAGAGAATGCAAGTCCTTAACCACATCCTGAGACTACTTCATTAACGTTTCAATTATATTTTGTATACTACTGGGTCCTATGTACCTTAAATTGGCTATAGGATACCATTCAGTTATCTCATGTCTATTTTCACTTTAGAATTTGGCAGTTTGTTGTGTTGAAGCATAATTTTTACTGAACTTGGCAGATTTTAGGATAGTCTAAACTGGCTTATACCTTTAGCAAGGCATGTGACACCCGTTGAGGCATAGAACACTGTTGGGAGGGTTGTGCAGAAAGATCCTCCATACCCTAGTTAGGAGTACTTTATTTTTGTGTCCTACCTAGTAAGGTATGTGTGAGTCACTACTGATCATATCCTGCCTAGTTCTAAGCTTTCCTTGTTGTTCTCTGCCTAGCTCAGTGGAGAAAGCGTTAGACTGAAGAAGAGGATTCATTCCTCAGTTGAGAGGGGGCCAGGGACTCTGACAGGCAGCTTGACTAACACTTAGCCTTGCTGAGTGTTTCCAGGGTGATGGTCAATGCCCTGCACACCAAATTCGTTCTAGTCATCATCGGTCTCCATTGAAGATCGTGTATCTTATTTTATATAGGCAGAGACTGAGGTTCAGATGGGTCAATGTCCAGAGTCACAAAGAGAGTGAGCAGTAGAGTTAGGCTGAGGTGAGCCTACCTGCAGAGCTGGTGCTCAACCCCTCTAAGCCATTACCATCCTTTGGTGAAGGGAACTGAATTAGGGATGGCCATGCCCTGAGGACAGTTGGGGGAGCTAATGTTATGAGGATTAGATGTTGGAGCTTTCAGTGGAAGAAATAGAAAGCACCTAGTATCTGGAGAGTTGCTCAGAGCAGAGGTGTTGCTGTAGGGAGGGACCTGTGCACAGAGCCTCTTGTTTCCTCCTCTCACAGGTGGAAGCCGCATATCCTGGATCTGGGCACTGGTGGTACTGGGCTGTGTGCTCATTGTGGGAATAGCATGTTTTAGGAGACCCATATGGATGTGGCTTAAGAGGCACTGGTAAGTGTCATTTTCCCATCTCCTCCTTGCCTTAGCCTCTGTGCCCTTCATTGTTTGCTCACCTTGTCTTTAATGACCCCTCTGACTCTGTCCTCTAACAGCTCCTATGAAGACATCCCGTGACACTGCTTGCCACACCTGCCTCTCTGGAACTCAGGACCTCAACTTCCCAGGATATCAGTCCTGAGCTGTTTGGGAATTGAGAGTGAGAAGAGAGGTCCCTCAAAAAGAGGAGAAGACCACAAGGCAGCTGTGGGCACATCCTCTCAAGAGTTGCCTAGAGTAACTTCAGTGTTCATTATACTACAACTGGATTCTGTGATGAAGAGTGCAAACTCTGATGTGCTGCAGGATAGCAGAAAGGGACTGGGGTGTCAGTGTGTGTGTGTGTGTGTGTGTGTGTGTGTGTGTGTGTGTGTGTGTCTATATTGACTATGCCTCAGAACTGTTGTGGAGATTGAATGTATAAACCTGAATTAACCTGTGAGAGTCCACACTGTTTTTGGTGCCACACTGCCCTCAAATGACATTATTGGCTTCCCTTGATAAAGCAGGGTCATTTGTGAAGCAACCGAATGACCTTCTGCTTTCTTAGGATGTGTGTGTGTTTAAGCTGCTCCTGAAGCCCTTTTGGAATTTCTGTAACTTGGAATTGCAGTAGTTCTGATGCTTGTATGAACAACCTGGTTTTGGAAATGAAGAATTATCTCTCCAGGGAACCTTGCTTTCTTCCTCCAAATGTCGAGTTTAAAACATTTCAGGAAATCCTGGAATTCATTTTGCCTCATGTAAATACTCTGTGTGGTTTGAGTGTGAGTCAATTTTCAGTTTGTTGTTGTGCAGCTCTTAAGGCTTTATCTTTTGGTTTCTGTTTAGTGATCGTGATCAGAATTCCTTTAATTGCTTCTTACAGAACAAACAATGGGAAGTGTTTCCAGGGAGAGGAAGGGTTGAAGTTTCTAGCTATTGTACAGTGGGGTCTGCAGTAGAGTAGGAGTGAGGGTGCGTGGGACTGTCCCAGGCACTTGCCCAGAGTTAATGCCTACTTGGTGACCTTACAGCCTCATCCTAGCAATAAGCTTGCCCTGTCCCTGTCAGTGTGGTGGACAGGCCCCAGAAGGTTCTGCTCCTGCCTGTGTCCTCTGCAGAGCCTTGCATAATCTGTGTTAATGTATTTGCTTTGTGACAATTCTACTGAACTCCATACCTCTGGTCAAGCCCTGTGGGTTATTTCTAATTGCTTAAACAAGTATAGACTGGTGAAATAAACTGTTACTCAGTTTATTTCATTTTTACATATTGAAATTGCACAATTTAGACAGAGAATTCCTTTCTGCCTTGTTTACTTCCTTGGATTCAACATCCAACACCCTTTAGCACCCTCTAAGCTGCTGTGAATACATTTTTGAACCACCTAGGACTAGTGTGTTATTTAGGATTCTGGTATATATAGTGCCTGCTGTTATGCTGTTATATGTGAGAGCTGAGATTGGGGGTGGGCTGGTCTAGGCTGCAGCACATTGGGGTATACATGAGAGCTGGGGTTCATGCAGGACTGCCCAAGAACTGCGTTCACCAGTATGTGTACTGGCTGTTGTAGGGGACAGGTTGAACCTGACCCTGAACCAATGGGCACATGGGAAAGCCAGGTCTTAGGATCTCCCAAGCAAGATTTCTTAGTGGGCTCTCCAACTGAGCCACTGCACTCAAATCCAAACCTCAGAGAAAATCACAGGGATATGTAATCTGAATCTGGAGCACTTGTTGCAGGATTGGACCACATTTCTTGATGACTCCCACACAAGAATAACAAGCACACCCATATGTACACAAAAGACAAGATAGCCAGTTCTTCTAAATCAAGAGAACTTCAAGTACCTCATCTAAGACGGAAAGCAGTACAGGTTGAACAACACTCTTGGCCAGGCTTTGCAGCAAGCACCTAAGTCTGTGAACATGCTGAGTAGACATAATATAGCTATCAAACCTAAGAAAGAATTTCACTCCTTTGTAGTGCAACAAAGCTTACAACTTCTCAGAACAATCAAAGCCACTCAAGTAACATCCTAGGAGCATTCTTCCCCACGTTGAAGTCTCAGGGTGACATGAAATGAATGTTTGCATCCCTGAGCACTGATGTGTTTTGATCGCAAGGAGTGGCACACTCCCCAAACTTTCTCTCTGGGCATAGGTGAAAAGACTGAAACATCTGTCTCACCCACCTTCCCCTCAATTTTCACCATTTCCACCCTAACTGCAATCAATACTATTAACAACAAACACAAAACCACCCCAAAACATGCACTATAGTTAATTGAAATCTATCAAAAGTATGTATTTTAAAAGGTGCTTAAAGAAACATTCTTTGGGCCCGGCAGCGTGGCCCAATGGCCAAAGAACTCGCTTTGAATGCACTGGGATCACATATGAGTGCTGGTTCTAATCCCGGCAGCTCCACTTCCCGTCCAGCTCCCTGCTTGTGGCCTGGGAAAGCAGTCGAGGATGTCCAAAGCCTTGGGACCCTTCACTCATGTAGGATAACCGGAAGAGGATCCTGGTTCCTGGCTTTGGATCGGCACAGCACCGGCTGTTGCAGTCACTTGAGGAGTGAATCATCAGATGGAAGATCTTTCTCTCTGTCTCTCCTCCTCTCTGTATATCTGACTTTGCGAAAAATAAAAAAATAATCTTTTTTTTTAAAAAAGAAACATTTTTTAAAAAAAATTCAGTTTCGTCTCATGTCTATGCAGCAGCTGATGCTTTTGCAATGCAATGAACTTAATGACTCTACAATGGATCACTAGAAGTTGCTGAGTCACTATATTTTTTCTAACAGAGAAAACAAAGACAAATAATTCTGCCTTAAAAGAATAAAGTGAGAACCTCAGTGTTAGTAATTCTCATTTTTAAGGCAAGTGTCCTTTGGAGATTGATCATGAACCAAATGAGCCCTGGAAACAGGTTGGGGTTTTCGAGGTGTATTTATTACTTAGTTTTCAGTACATTTCTTCTTGAAAAAAAAATCCTGCTATTTTGTGGCTGAATAATGCTTTGAAATCTTCACATACACTTTGTTCCTTTCTTTGCCTTTTCCTCTTTTCCTTCTTACCCACGTGGCATGTTGTGTATATATGAGAAGGACATGGGGTTCAGGGATCTAGGCACAGAATACTATGACTCCTGACCTTGTACAGACAGTTACATCACCAAAATCATTAAGTTGATGGACATACGAGTACAGACATTTAATTTAATTGAGATCTTTAGGAGGCACTGTGTGCATGCCCTGAGAAGGTAGACTTGTGGGAGGCTTGATATGCCAGCCCAAGGCCACCCTGCCTATTGTCTATGCTTCTTGGCTCACTGTGAGACACTTTTTTTATTCTCTGCCATCTGTTGGCCTAATGAGATGACTGAACTAGTAGTGCCCATCTGATTTGGGAGAGTGATCATTCAAAACCATGAGTCAATAATATACCCCCTTTTGCCCCAAGTTGCCAGTGTATTCTTTATAATAGTTGACCAACACAGCATACAAATTAACTACACATTTCTCTTCAGAAAAAGAATATGGTAAGACAGAAAACATATTTAGTTTTCTAATCAGTCTGGGAGTTCTGCCTCCAGTTATTATGGATTACACTGGGAATAGGATAGTAAAGCATAAACAGAAAGTCTTGTCAGAAAAGGAAGCAGGAAATACTTTTTCTGGTTGGGGCGTAGCTGTCTGTGGGTTCTTGAGGCACAAAAATGCTGTACACTTTATTTCCACTTGTGCTATTGGGGAGGTAGCAATATCCTAGAGAGAAGGCAATGAGATATGACTGGGCTGAAACTCCTGCACAGCTTTAGAAAAAGCTCAGACAGTTATAACTGCATTTTTTAAAAAGATACATTTATTCCTTGGAAATCTGAGTTGCAGGGTGAGGGGGTAACACAGAAGCTAAGAGATCTTCCATTCACTGGGGCACTCCTCAGTTGGCCACAACAGCTGAGGCTGGGCTTGGCTGAAGCCAGGAAGCAGGAGCTTCCTTCAGGTCTCTCTTCTGGCTGTTTTCTGCTGCCCTTCCCAGCTAATGTCAGGGAGCTGGATCAAAAGTAGGAACTTGAACCAACTCCCATATGGAATGCTGATGTCACAGGCAAAAGCTTTACCCATTAAGCCACTTCACTGGCTCATGATACTCATAATTCGGGCATAGGAATGTTGGAAAGCATATCGGTGTGTGGACGATCACCCCGGGCCCCACCCTGCTGCCTGGAGGGCGTGGCTTAAGCCTAACCTTCCCCATGGCCTGACACACAGCTTTCAGGCCTACATGTGGAGTGTGACCTCCAACATGGCTACAAGGTCAAGGGAATTATACCTGAACATGACCTCTGACACCACCGGAAGATCTAGGAAGATAGAGACAGCCAATTGGTGGGCATGGGGCCGGACGGAAGGCTCCCTTCTGCCCGTCCCTCCTTACCCTTTAAAGCCTGTAACCTGTATGTAGTAAAGCAGACATTCCTCACCAGCTTGTCTCTGGTGGTTCTTGTGGTGGAAGGCCACCTCCTGCCTCACCCTTGGTGACCTCAGGGCCTGCTGAAAGGCCTAAACCCCGAGATTGGTGAGCAGGTGTGTGGCATGGAAGTTAAGACACCATTTGTAGTACTCACATCCTGTACTGGTTTAATTCTACTCTGATTCCACTTTCCTGTTACAATATACTCTGTAAGGTAGCAGGTGATGCCTCAAGTAATTGAGTCCCTACCATCCATATGAGGAACCTCAATTGAAATCCAGGTTCCTGGTTTTAGTCTGGCCCAGCTTTGGTTATGGACAAGTGGAGAGTGAGCCACAGGTGGGAGATTTCTATATTCTTGAGCTGCGACCTGCACAGCATGAATGGTGGTGAGGAGGGGATGATAGACATAGGAAAGGGACAGAGACACGAATGATAGATTTTTAACAGTTGGGGGACGGGGGCGGGGATGGCAATCAAAGGTTTTCATCTACAAAAGGGAGAAGAACCTGGTTGAGATCTTCCCAGTTGTTTTTATTTTCTTAGGGTCTCAATTTTCTCCACTCATGTGGCAATAGTCTAAGGTCCTATCAATAATCTGACGGCTAACTAGCTACAGGCTGCCGGGAGATCATCACGCATCAGAGGATGGAGGAGAACGGGACACAGCACACAAACATTGTGAGCTCGTTTTAAATGACACCTCCATCTGAGGCTTTCCGCTTTTGGCTGCCTGCTGCTTTGCATACAGAGCACTTAGCAGAGTTCCCAGACCTGTCTCACTCCTTCTCAGACTGTTGCTGTCGACCTTAAACAGTCT